TACTTTTTCTTACTTTGTCTCTAGTTTCCAAACTGCAGAGCTCTGTGAGAGTGATCTTGAAAACTGGAGCTGACGTCAGTCTTCCAGTGAATAATGCTCAGATTCTACAAAAGGTACAATTACTTTTCTTGTTTTCAATACATTTGACATATTCACTGTTTGGATGATTAAAATGAAGTATTTCATTTTCACCTTGCACAGGTAGTGGTTTTACAAACTCCTTTATTATCACAGCCATCATTTAGCTTTTATTTTTACTGAACCGTATTGAATTGATTTGAACTACATCATATGGAATTGTACTGTATCAAAAGCTCACTGTGTCGAGATACATATCGTATCGTTTGACAAGTTTTGTATCGGCGACTTCTGAATGACTCCCTGTCCTTTTTGTCTGTGGTTTTAGGTGGAGGCAGAGCTCAGACGTCGTGGGTGGACTGACTTCAGACTGACATGGAGGATTGAACCAGTCAAACAGATCCCTGAGCAAGTGCAGCACCGACCAAAGTGCAACAACTTCTAACAACGAAAAATGACCATCACTTCCTGAACCAATATCAGGAACTCAACTTCAAATCACTGTTTTTGTCAATTCTGTTTTGTTTGAAAAGCGACTTTAAGTTTCTATAAAATGCTACATATGTGCTAAATATCTGCTATATACCAGTCAAATGTTCTATGTAACGTTTTGGTTGGGAGTTCGTCACACGCTTGTTTCTATGGGTATGTCACTGCTCTGCCTGGAATGTTCCGCAGTGTGACTTTAAACAGCTCCACTTTACATTTATTTATTTGGAGGTGGTTTTAAAGCTCAAAAATACCTAAAAAAAAACCTCTATCACTCATCTATTAAATAGTGAGGCAGATATATTTCTGCCGCTGGACTTTTTTTCTCCTCTAAAGCGTTTGCTCTTCTGCATCATGTAAACAAACAGCACTGTGTGAATGACGTTATCGGCCATGGTCTGGTTCGGTTGTGCAGGTGCGAGATACATATTTATAGCCTATATTTATTTTGTGTAAATTATCAATAACAATGTTTTGGGGTTTTGTTTTGTTTTTTTGTGAGAGACAGAAACTCTAAATAAATGCATTGTGTAACTGTTCTGTCCTCACGACTATGTGACGCTAGACAGCCAGCGAACTAATAAAGGCAAGGTATACTTTTCTTGGTTTTATGGAGATCTCTTGTATAAATTTATAGTAACTGAAACACACAGAAAAAAAGAATAACATGTAATACGGCAGTAATAGCTCCGTGAAACAACTACAAATTTATGATTTACATGACCAAAATAAAATACAATATGTGACCTCAAAGTGCTTGTGAACATATAATACTTATAAGATGAAAATTATCCAAGATTCAAATGTTAGAAAACAATCAGCGTGAACAAGAAACGATATTCAAACTTCAGTTACCAGTCGCTGTGGAAACAGATGATTTTTTACCCAGAGCAAAACAAATGTTAAAGATCGTCTATGGCAGTGGCGGGCAAACTTTCTGGCTCGCGGGCCACATAGGGTTCTAAAGTTTGACTGAAGGGCCGGACAGAAGACAGGACATAACGTGTTAAAAGCTCAGATTCATTACATTCTTATTCACATTTATCTAGGACACAGGTGTCAAACATACGGCCCGGGGGCCAGATGCGGCCCTCCAAGACCTTTAATCTGGCCCTCGGCTGATTTTCTACTAAAATATTTTAATTCTATTTTTTATTAAAATCTTGTTAATTTTCTGTGGTGTTTATCAGAGCAGCGTCTCCAGCGTCTCTGTACGTGGCCCCTCCCACCAGAGCAGCACAAATGAAGACTTGTCTCTTTCCAAAAAATGTCCAACATGAGAAAAGTGGAGCCGAGTGCAGGATTTTACAACAAAAATTGACTTATTCCTGTTTACATACAAGTTCATGTTAAAACATTGTGTTGAAATTGGATTTTTCTTAAAGTTTCAGTTTGTTCATAATATTATAATATTTTGTAAAAGAAAGAGTTCATCAATTAAAAAAAGATTTCTGTAATAAATTTGTGTTTCTCTGCACAAATATTTGAACTTATTGTTATTTTTGGGCTTTATATGACATGAGTTTTCTGATCCGGCCCCTTTGGATCAAAGTCGGTTGAATACGGCCCCCGGACCAAAATGAGTTTGACACCCCTGATCTAGGACTTCAGACGCGCTACACGTTTCATCACTACTGTGAAAGATTCAAAACACATAAAACCATTGAGACCTGTTCCACTGCACACCACAAGTGAATGTTTATCCTGAGTTCACCGTTTTCAAAAGTGACTGGGAACAGCTCAGAAACAAAGCTCACGCCAAACAACCACAGGTATCACCTGTGAAGGCCCGTTCAGACCAAAGCGTCAAAGCGTCCACTTTCTATGTAAAGTCTATGTGGACGCGCGACTAGAGCGTCCTGCGTTTTTGCGGCGCGTTTTCGGCGTCAGCGCGGCACGAATCTGGCGTCGACGCGGCGCGTCTTGAGCGTTTTGGCGTCAGCGGCCAAGACACGCGTCCAAGGCGTCAGCGTCAAGAAGTTGAAAATGCTGAACTTTTTGCGTCAGATGCGCCGCGTCAACCAATCAGGGACGAGTATCCAGAGACGCAGCGACGTTATTATCAGGAAGAAAAACCCGAGAACCAGAACAAGAACCACCAACATGAGCGGAGCATAAATATATACGCCACAATCACCGAGCCGATCGCGAGGACTACACCAGGACCGGACCAGGACTAAACCAGGACTCGACCGGGACTAAACAAGGACTAGACCGGGACTAAACAAGGACTAGACCGGGAGTAGACCGAGACTAGACCGTGATTAGACCAGGACTAGACCGGGAGTGTCATTAGCGGAGTATAAATATATATACGCCCCAGTCGTCCACCCGATCTCCTCCGCTGATGTTTTATGTCATAAAAACACTCTCTCAGGCTGTGTCCCAATTCGAGGGCTGCAGCCTCCGAAGGCTGGTTTTAAGGCCGCATACGTCACTTCCGGTGAAAGAAGGCCTGTCCCATTTCATTTTTATGTCATGCAGCCTTCAAATGCAGCCCTAAAACCGGCCTCGTTTCCATGGAGATGGGGCCGCGAACGGAGGACACATCCGAGTATCCTTCGCAGCCTTCAGTATCCCAGCATGCACCGCGCGGCGGCAGTCAGATGTTCGAAAACACGGAGCAAAAAGCCGGTCCCGAGAGCGGAGAAAAACATGTGAGTAACACTTTTAACTTTAGGAAATCATTACTAACACAACTGTAAACGTAAAATACGACCATAACTCCCACAAAACTGTCAAATAAGTTTGTTTTTAACTGCGTGAACCGGGGAGTTTTGAGCTAAAGTTTGCCTAGTAATGTGCAGCTAATGCGATGAAAAGTCCGCTCAAACTTTCATATTTGGACACATTTCCATCAAACACTAATGATGTTTTTACTGTTAGGGGAAAAGAAGCCCACAGAGTGATTTAAAGAAGCTACGAGGAGAAAACTCCACGTTTTCACGGACAGTGTAAACATGTAAACAGTTGGTCAGTGTAGCTCGGAGTTAAGATGAAAACACGCATTATTTCATACATTCAACTGAAAAAAGACTCAGTCTGACTCTATCAAAGCTCATATTTACTTGTAAATCACATAATATATGCCTCCAACGTGTGCATTTCATTCAGGGAACACATGATCTGCTTTTAACAATCCGTGCATGTTTGTAAAGTGAAGAGTAAATAATCCTGCCTGGACAGGTCAGATTTATGATGGACATGAGGCTCATTTAACAGATTTGTGCAGACACTGGTGTAGATACGACCTGACTGTGTCTGTTCGGTCTGTCACATCTAATGTTATAACAATGAGAAATCTGTTTTACATTATGAATTTTCTTTTCTCATCTGCAGCCTCCAGTATAGATAAATAATAATAAATGTAAATAGTGCGGAGGGAGTCCAGGTGTTCTTTGGGCCTGCATGCTCTGTCAAACTTATTTTCCTCTAATAGTTTTGTAGTTTTCTTAATGTGTGTGTCATTACAGGTTTTCACTCTACAGGACAGAACTTTGAATCAATCAGACGCAACAACCATCCTGCTCTTCCTCCAGAAGACGAGAGACACATCAGACTGAGTGGTCCAAGTCCACTGTCCATGTCTCCAATGTCCATGTCTCCAATGTCCATGTCCAGAGTCTCTGAGGAGGAGGTCCAGAGTCTCATATGATCTGAACAGACAGAAATGAAAACATCTGCTCATAAGTTTTTCTGAATGTTTTTCAGTCTGTACTGACATTTGATTTATGGTGAAATGTGCCATTTATTTGGTGTCTCTTTTGATAGTAACTAATTACATGTACTATAAGAATGTACTATTGTACTGCAGATAAGCTGTGGTATTCCACATGATCATATCTGGCTAAAAGATAATTTGTTCATTTTTGAGTGTCACTTGCTTCAGCAAAAAGGGAACACAATGAGATTTACTGACATACAGCTGTTTGTACTAACTTGTTAATGCAAAGTGTGTGTAATGGGTTTAATATTTGACTTCATATTATGATAAAGTATTTCCAGAAGTTCCTTGGATTGTTTAATAAATCATCTTTTCTCAGGAGAGATTCTTTCTTTCTTTACAAACTGACTGTATAAATGTAATCCCTGGTCAATATAAAAATCCTTAATAATGATAATATTTAGTAATTCATATCTCATCACAGTTTTTTTTTATTTTAAGATAATTTAGTCTATTTAAAATGTATCCCTTAAATATACCCTACTAGCATCAGGATCCGCAGCGGATCCGCTTTCGCTCCGCCAAATCCGCCCCACAGTCCGTCCGCTTTGCGGATCCGCTGCGTATTTGTTCCGTATTCGCATTCTGACTGTTGCTAACCCTAACCCTTGGATGGCCTGCTGTTACAGAGAGAATCTGCGGTTAAATCATCTTAGATCCACACTGTGAACATACTTTTAACACAACACTTTGTTTTTGACACAATGATTTGTACTATCAATGCGCGGATCCGCGGGTAACCCGGTTCGGATTCGCTGCGCGGACGCGCCACTGACTCAGCCGTTATCAGAACCTGAGAGAAAGAAACAACATCCACCTGTTGTCTGTGGATTTCACTGTAAGTAATAGTTTAAAAGTGAATTGTATTAGTCATCATTAATGTACATAACGTTAACGGTATATTGTGGTGTGTTTACATGTGTGACTCTGTGTGTTTTATCAGTTTTGACGAGCGCAGTAGGAAAGTTAGCGACAGAAGCAGCTGACGTGATGAAGACGATGTGAGGTCAGGAGTCAGGATAACTCCATCTCTTGAGGTAGATCCCAGTCTAAATACTATTTTTATATAAAGCTACTTATATTCTTGTATATTTTTACGATCACAGAATTGTAATTCTGCTCCGTGATCATTGGTCGTGTTTAACGGGCTCGGTTCTGGCTGGACGCCGCTCTCGGCGCTCTCCCTTCGGCTGTGGAGCGACGGTGACACCGGTGTCTGATCTGATTGTGTTTTTTAACCAGAGATAATTATTATTTGTGTAGACTAGAGTGTTGACTGTTGAGTTGAGACTAAAGTGCAGTCATGTCAGTGCCTTAATACAATAATTTAACGCAACGTGCCATAATACAATAACGTAACGTAATAAAAAGCACAACTTTTAACAACAGCTAATGTTAGCTAACCAACCAGATGACATCAGGACTCTGTCCTTCTGCTGAATGTCCCCATCAGGAGCCCTGCACACTGATCAGAATTAAGTACTTTTAATGATTTTTGTGACAGTGAAGATTTAGTTTGGAGTCAGATCTGACTTTGTCTCTAACTTGAGACGGTGCTTCAGACTTTCAGTGAGATGTTGACATGAACACTAATGTGTCACATCTGTATTACACTGATATTGACTCTGAACACCATCATAAATTGATTATTATATTTTAAATGTTGTGGTAAAAGTAAATGTAGTAGAGTATTGTGTATTAACAGCAGTGAAATACGTCTCATGTTCATACTCAGGCTGATACTAAAACAAAAGAGTTCAGTTTTACTGCGCTGAAGTATTTCCTATGAGTTAAATCATGTTTTTCATCTGTGTTTCAGAATATACTATGGTTAATAAGAAGATGGACATAACAGCCTGATAAAGACCCTCTGGAGGTAAATACTGCACTTGGATTAAACACTGTGGCCTGAAATGATCCAAACTGATATTTGTGTTTCTCTTATTTGATGTTTTACAGAATTCCCTCTGCTGGGCCAAGTTCCCAAAAATGTAGAGACAGACCCTCTGTAAGTTTACTGTATTATCCTACTTTTATTAACTTTCATAACTAAACATATGCACATTATAATCACACCTGTTGTTGTGCATATTGTTTCTTTCAGAACCTGCTGTGGTGGAGCTTAAAGACTGACCCTCTGTAAGTGCATCTCTCCAATCAAGTGTTTACCTTTCATGTTCAAATCACACAGCCACTGTCATGACTTACAATGTTCTTCACAAACCTGAACTCTAACTCCTTACAAGAATAAGAGGTGTAATGGGGTGTTTAATACACACTGGTGTCATTTCAGATGCTGTGAGAAAGGGGAAGCCCAGAGCTGGACACTGACAGACTGGATCTTCACCAGTAGGACTGAAGAGGAGCCAGACTCACTGCACCTCTGCCTCAAAACCTCTGCCTCAGACTGAAGCTAAAGACAGTGGCTCTGAAGCTCCCACACTGCACACTCTTATAAGAACAACCACCCGTCTTAATTGTTTTGTGGTGGTAAACACAAGTTAAGTTTGAGTTTGAACAGTTTGGTTTGACTACACTCTGTCTCATCTGTCCAGGCTTTTACTCATATAGCTTATATTTGTTTTTTGCCATTTAAAAAAAAAAAAAAAAACTTTGCTTAACTTGAATTATTTTTAGTAAAAACTGTAAATTGTCATTTTCATATTAAGAATGAAGCATTGGTTAACTCAAAGGGTTTATAAGTCCTATAACATTAATAATGATTATTCATGTCCTAAGATTTCTAATTAATGATTTAAATAAATATTGTTTACAATGTAAAAAAAAAAAAAAGTTTCTTTTTTTCTTAACTAATGAGATTTAGTGATAGGATATCACTGATCCAACTTTGAAATTGTTTAAGTTTATGTTTTTAAATTTAAGCCTTTATATCCTAGTTTTAATACTTGCTGTAAAAGTTTTATGTACAATTACAATGCAAATGCTGCTGGTGTATTTAGGTCAGTAGGAAGTGGATCAGTATGAAATCTGAAGCATATATTTAGGCTCCTAACGACACAATAAACAGATCCGCGGCAGATAACCCGGTTCTGAAAGCGGATCCAAAACGGGTCCTGGGCGGATCCGCGAGATACGCAGCGGATCAGCCGCGCCTCCGCCGCGGATCCGGGCTTATTTTGACGGATCCGCGGCGGAGGCGCGGCTGATCCGCTGCGTATCCGCGCGGCGGATCCGTTGCTGATCCGCTGCGTATCCGCGCGGCGGATCCGTTGCTGATCCGCGGCGATGTGCAAGTGAACTCCGATGCGGATCCGTTCTGCGGATATTTTTTGCTATGTGGGTAGCCGTTTTGTTTTGCAAAAGTTAAACATACATTTTTGGTTTTGGCCATAAGATTTGGATACGAATTATTAAAATAATTTGGTCACAAAATCCGACAGTTTGATGACCTGTGCGTCTTTTTACTGATCCGTGTGCGTAATCTGCGCGGAGCATGTTAGCATTAGCATTAGCCAGGCATGTCCAAACTATGGCCCGGGGGCCAAATGCGGCCCTCAGACAAATTTTTCTTGGCCCTCCGGCTTCCAGGTAAATTGGCCCAAATTACCTTGCATCAATTAAAAAATATTTTTTTACTGCAAGTTTTTGAAAATCTACCTAGATAAAGCTAATATTTAATATTTAGTGTGTGGTTTTAAGGATCTTAGCATGAATAAAGACTGATAGCTCATTCTAAGGTGTTAAACATGCACATATTTCAATTATTCCCTGTACTGAGCATCAGTTTATGGCCCTCAATAGGCCCTCTGCTTGGTCTGTGTTTAGATATGTGGCCCTTGATGAAAAAAGTTTGGACACCCCTGGCATTAGCGCTAGCAGCGTCCCTCGGTTGCTAGGCGACAGGGGAGCGGCTCCGAGAGGTAGACTTGTCCCATTTCCGCAACGGCCTGGCGTCCGCGGAGGCCAGTTCAAGGGCTGCAGCCTTCGCGGCCGACGAAGGACCCAACCTTCACAGCCTTCGGAGGCTGCAGCCCTTTGAATTGGGACACAGCCTCAGTCTGGTCTGATATTGTTTCGAGAAAAGACCGAGACCGGGCTCTTGTTTCCAGGGCAACGGACGCGCGTCAAGTATTTTTGTCCCGGCGTCAAAGATGCGCGTCGGGGACGTCTAAACTCAAATGCAAATGCGTCCAAATAGAGGCGTTTTTTGACGCTAACACCTGAGTCCAAAACGTTGTTCACATTAAGAATTATAACTCCAAATCCATGCGTTTTCTTGATTGATTTTTACCAACTCACTATGGAAGCAGTGCAGTCTTATATCATAAGTACCGACTACTTCACTCATGGTCCGAATAACTCCTGTAAGAACACTTTCCCATAAAGCATTGCGGCCAATGTATAATAATATGCTGCAACTCAATGTATATATAGTGCGCCATCTACTGGGAAACGCTGGAAATGCATGACAAATAAAACATCAACAAGGTTTATTATTGTAATTTATTCCAGTTCGGCGGGCCGGATTAAAAGGTACTAAAAGGGCCATAGTTTGCCCACCCCTGGTCTAGAATGTGATGATGTCATACTCCCAGACGGGGCAAGATCCATGTTTCCCTGTTGACTGAGGCCGAGTGTTGTTAAGAAGTCGCTGATACGAGACAAACCATGTGTCATTCAATAATTTGTTTGTCAGTATAAAACCAAAAATAAGACACACCCCCCCCAAAAAAAAAAAAAAAAAAAAAAAAAAAAAAAAAAACAGTTTTCTTCATTATTTGTCTCCAAAACCAAAATGAAAAAACAGATGATTTTTTTTTTTTTTTCAGTTTTCGATTTTGTGTTTAAATGAAAAATGGAAAAAACGGATAACGGCCGTTTCCCGTTTACGTGACTTCTGTGACTGTGATGTCAGTCTTTTGCACCACATACGGACTGAACCAGGACTGATCCAGGTCTGGGACCAGACCGGGACCAGAGCGGAGTCCAAGCTTTGACTCCGAGCCTCCTCAGGGTCTGAGCCTCAGCTTCAAGCTCCAGTCTGGTCCCGGTCTCAGTCTCGGTCTCAGTCTGGTCCCGGTCTCAGTCCCAGTCTGGTCCCAGTCTCAGTCCCGGTCTGGTCTCGGTCTCAGTCTCGGTTTCAGTCCCGGTCTCAGTCTCGGTCTGGTACCGGTCTGGTCCCGGTCTCAGTCCCGGTCTGGTCCCGGTCTCAGTCTCAGTCTGGTCCCGGTCTCAGTCCCAGTCTGGTCCCAGTCTCAGTCCCGGTCTGGTACCAGTCTGGTCCCGGTCTCAGTCCCGGTCTGGTCCCGGTCTGGTCCCGGTCTCAGTATCGGTCTCAGTCTCAGTCTGGTCCCGGTCTCAGTCCCAGTCTGGTCCCAGTCTCAGTCCCGGTCTGGTCCTGGTCTGGTCTCGGTCTCAGTCTCGGTCTCAGTCCCGGTCTCAGTCCCGGTCTGGTCCCGGCCTCAGTCCCGGTCTGGTCCCGGTCTGGTCCCGGTCTCAGTCCCGGTCTGGTCTCGGTCTGGTCTCGGTCTCAGTCCCGATCTGGTCTCGGTCTGGTTTCGGTCTAAACCAGGAGTAAAACAGGTCTAAACCAGGACTAAACCAGGATTAAACTAAGACTAAACCAGGACTAAACCAGGTCTAAACCAGGACTAAACCAGGTCTAAACTAGATGAAATTATGAACAAAACTGGTTCAGACTGGTCTTCTCTGGTGGGAGTTTGAAGTGGTGGTGGGAGGAGCCAAATTAACACTAAGGGAAGTTGAATTAACTTCAACCAAATCAACTCTGGCAAATAACCCCAACTCCAACACACATTTAACTTTCAAACTGTTAAAATATCACTTTTTGTGTTCAAAACAACTCTGAAATATTTCACCCTGAAATATTCACACTGTAGAGGGGGGCCCATGTGACGCTTTTTTGCCCTGGGCCCAACAAATTTCTGACGACGGGTCTGGCTTCACCTGCTTGTTTCCATGGAGACAGGTCATTTTAATGCCAATTGGTGAAACATTCCAAGCAAAAGCAAACACAACTCCCCAGAGACAAACACGTACCACCAGAAACGTTATGTAATGCTGCTTTAACTTCAAAACCGTCCTGTTTAAATCTGTTATTTTTCAGTAAACTTTGGGCTCTACGTCAAAATTTAACTTTTTAACTTTGAGACTCCAGATGTTTAGCTCTGGTTTATGTTCAATGTTTCTATAATTACTGGACCGATCCATATAAAACAATTCAGTAACAGTTTTAAAACAAAAAGTATGTAAATAAATGAATAAATAAATGAATAAATAATCAAATACCTACATACAGACGTACATAAAAGTGTAAATGTCTTTATTTACTGTGATTTACCTGCAAGTATTAAGATAAAAAAAGATAAATTATTAAAATATTTGTCACATTCTTTCTAACTAATGAACTCATTAGCATATCGTCACAGGAATCAGATCTTGATTTGGATTTCATTTTTATTGGATTTTTTTTATTG